ATATATATATTTATAAGATAAAATACGTAATATATATATATATATATATATATATATATATATATATATTAGTTTAATGGTGCGTTGGTATTTCCAAACAATAACTCCAATATTCATTTTGCACTTTATGATTTACAGGGTGGGCAGTTAGTTATGATTAATTTATATTCAATTGTGGAGATGTTATTTTTATAATTTGTGAGTGGTGAGTAATGTATATTGTTGAGATTGTGTATATGTTGATTGTGGCAGAAAGTATATGATTACAAAGTGATGAAAGTATGATCCAAGTTGTAAATCAAGTTCCATCTGTGTAGGATCTCTTGGTGAGATTCTTAGTGTTTTAGAATGAAAGTAGGAGCTTAGTCTTGAGGGTCATTCTGAAACTCCAATGGCTAATCATACTCAAGTAGAAGGATTAATCCATGTGGTGAGGAGTAGCAGGAGGTCTTAGTCTTGGGGGCTTTCAGTATGCCTCAAGGCCCGGAACATGCTAACCTCGTGAGTGTGGCAGGGTGGAGAACCCAAGTTTCATGAGTCACCACGAGTGCAGGACCCGCCATAGCTCGACTATCATTCTAAGTCCGGACGAGTCAAGTCTAGTTTATGACATGTTCCTTTGTATGGTTTAACTTGCTTGGCTTAAAGTATTTATTTGATGAATTGTTTACTTTAATATAGTATGCTTGCTTGTGAAACTAGCTCACCCTTGCTTGTGTGTTCGTGCTTTGTTTGGGTATGTTTCCTGTGACAATGATCATCCTAAATTGGATGTGAGCAGATTAAGAGGAGGTGTCTGTGGAGCAAGCGCTGGAAGAAGGTGATGTTGCAGCTTAGTATGTATAGGATCTTGATTAGTAGTATTATTCTGATGATAATTCACAGTGGTCCTTTATGTTTAAGAGACCAACTCTGGTTTTATTTTGGATAGTTGTAACCAATATAGTCTATTATATGTCTCTAACTCATTTCTAATATTATAATCGAACGACGTCTTTATTATATATGCATATCGTATATTATGAATAATATACAATATGCATATCGTACACTGAATAATAATTAAAATGACACCTTTATTACTAATTATAAATATAATAAATTGTTAGTAATTGTTACAAAATATAAATTATACTCAATTGTGTTATATAATCAATTAATATAATCGATTCTTTCTGTTCAAGTAGAAATAATACAAATTGGAAGATTCTCCATGCATTTGGATGGCTTTGGCAAATAAAATATAATAAATTTGTAGCTAGTCGTAATATTTTAAACTATATTTCATTTTTATATAAATATAAAAAATTACTTTTTTATGATTATTTTACTTGGTTAGGAATTGTCAAATTGTTAGTTCCGACCAAAATTTTTTTTCTTTGAAATCCAAAATAATCATTTAACAATTCGTTGTAAAAGATAAAATAATTAAAAAAATGATTTTTTTTATATTTATAACCAAAAATAAAAATTAAAAAATGGTGCCATGTGTGGTAGAAACTTTAAATATTAAAAATCATTATTCTAAAAAAATGGCGTTACAGATAATTATTTTTCAGTTATACGATATTGGAAGAAGCAATTTAAAAAATAATTTATTTAGTTGATCAGTTTGAAAATCCTTAAAGTAAAATAAATTGTTTTGATGATGAAATTTAAAAAAATAAAAAATTTAAGGAGTTAATTCAAATAGAATTTGACATTTATTAAAAAAATAAATTTCACCCCTCTTTATACACGTTATTAAATATTAAATGAACATTTAAACTTGACTAATTCTTTTGTTAATTTTAACTTAAAATACAAATGTTAAAAATAATTTTTTTAAAATTCAATTATTTTATCTAAATAAAAAATTAAAATACAGGCCACTTTAGTACTCAAGTTGTTTTTTGCATAGACACGTTCTTAAATTTCTTAATCTTATCAACAATTTTTTTCTTATTAATATCTTTTTCTACAAACAATCTTATGAAATCAGATATTTAACTTATTAAAATAATAATCACACATAAAAAATTAATCTTCTAAATTAGTAAGTCTATCATAGTCCCTCGACACCACACTTAACACTATATATCCAAATAAGTTCAAAATTAACTTCATAGTTTCATCCAAAAAGTGAAAAAAAAAAGAGCATACGAATAAAACTTAAAAATACGTACTTCAACTTTTGAAAACAACATTTTCATTTATAAAAAAGAAAAAGAAAAATCCATAAAAAAAACAAGTAGAAGAATTTAATTTAACGTCATGCTTTTGAATTACATTCACACTCAACCTTTCTTAAGTATTGCATTATCATTCCTTTTGCATATATTATATATGTATATGATTTGAAAAACATAATAATAATTTCAAGGGTTAAATATGTTTTTAGTCCCTAAACTATTGGTCGTTTCTGGTTTTCGTCCCTCTTTTAAAGTAAGGTACAATTTGGTCCTCATTTTTTTCGAAACTTTCGTTTTAGTCGTCAGAATTTTGGTTTTAGTCCTTATTTGTTACTAAATGAGGACCAAATTTCTAAACAGTGTTTAGTTTTCGAGGACTAAAACGAACGTTTCGAAAAGAATGAGGGCCAAATTGTACCTTACTTTGAAAAAGGGACGAAAACCAGAAACGACCAATAGTTTAGGGACTAAAAACATATTTAACCCTAATTTCAATATATATATATGCATACTTTCTTTTCTATTTTTTACAAGATCAATTAGGTATCTTTTCAAGACTATAATTTCATAAACTTCCTCTGACTTCATTTTTTAACGTATGTAATTTTTTTCTTTTTTGTATTTGTTCTTAATTAATAAGGTGAATTTTGTATTTTTAGAAGATACTCCGACCCTTAAAGTGTATAATTACTTTTATCATTAATGTGAACATAAATAAATTAATTTTATCAATTTAATATTTATAGTATAATTTAATGGAGTGTGGTATTGGTCTCTAATTAAGACTGCCAAATCAATTATGTGGGGGCTATGTACCTACTTTATCAAAATATCAAATTCTATACCCATTTAATTCAACTCATGCTAAATAAATTTATACACTTTCATCTATTATTTGCTAAATTAGCATACTTGTTTTTGCCAATTTGAGGGGTAAATACTGAGTTTAAAACACCAACATATTTCACACTAATTTCTTATATTTAGTTATGATATATATAGTTAACTAGGAACCAACCTAGTGTTATGATTTTTACCATTCATCAAAGCTTTTATTAAAAGGTTTTAGCCTCTTCAAAGCTTACCATTTTGGTATCATTCTTTTTTAATATATGTTAATTTTTATCTTAATCTTTCTTAGCAAATTTAACATTTATTTTTTAGTTATCTAACTAAGTATTTTATTTTTCCAATCACAAAAAAATAGCAAAGTGTGTTTACAAAACACAAATTCCTTTTTAAAAATTGTGATTTCAAGCATGATTAAATATTTAACTTTTTACTAAATATTGAAAATTTATTTCACTGTACATTTCAATTGAAAAAAATGATTAAAATACAATTTAATAATTCAAAATTTAAACTGTGGTAAGATTCACTACTTCAACTAAATTTAGTTTCTTTTTACAAAATTGAATTCAATAATAGTAATAATGATATGATTTAATTGTATTTTTAAATCCAAAAATTAGGCTAAATTAGTTTTGGTCTTATAAATTTAAAATTATTTTTCTCAGTCTCTTAAAATTGAAAAAAAAAAATAAACGTTGGTTCCTAAATACTAAAATTTAAGAATTTAAATGAGTTATTTTTTTTCATGAGTGAGGTTTAAAATTATATTCAGCCCTCAAATCTAATGTCTAAGAACTACAATATTTTTAAACTTTTGGCAAACTGAAATTATTTCAAAATTTAAAGACTAAAATGAAAGTTACCGAAAAGTTTTCAGGAACTAAAAAATATAGTTAAACCTAATAATAATAATATTAATAAATATATAATAATTTCAGAAAGAATTTAGGATTTTTCATTTGGCATTTGGAAAAGAAAACTAAAATTATATGTACTGACAAAAAATGAATTTCTTGGTAATAAATTTATACTTGCAGGTACAATTTATTCAACTTGTAAATTTTGAAATTGTTGATCTCAATAATTTGGAAAATAAATTACCCATTCAATAAATGTGGTCATTGATTTCTTATCCACAATGATAAATATGATAAATGCAACAACACTAGAACATACCAATTCTAATCATATATATCATATATCAAAATTTGAAATTTTTTAAAAATTTCATTAAATTTTACTGTGAAAATGACATATATGAGTTTACCCTTTTTGAATGACATAGGTTCTGAGCCTATTGCTTCATCTATGAGTAAATGTTTTTCTAGTTTTGTCAGCACTGTTCTAGAATCAGAAGCTGTTTCAGATCTTGCGTGTGATGCATGGAATATATATATATATATATATAATTATTATTTTTACTAAGTTTATTAATATTTTAAAAGCAGGTTTTTTTTCTTCAAAATTTGTTAGAATTCTTTAATTTAGTATTAATCAAATGTTAGAAAAAAATTATTAATATTTTATCATGCTGAAAGTAAATTTTTTAGCTCCAAATTTTTTTTTTCAATTTTTAATTTTATAAATAAAAATTATTTTTGATCAGTTTTGAATTTTTTTAATTTATTCAATCTTCAAGATAAAACTAAATATTATTCAAGTTTATTCTTTATGAGAGAAGAATATTAAAATGATGTGTTAGACTTTAGATAATTTAGTTTTTGTGAAAAAACTGTTGATGGCATGTGGAACAACATTTTTTAATGCATCTCTTATTTTATATTTTTAACCTAATATCTTTCTCCTACCATCTCTCAATTATATATTATAGTTTACTTTATTTCTAATTTTACAATTATTCAAATTTTTTACCTGTTTAAATTTCTCAATCTCGTATTCTTCATTTTTTCGTGTTTCAAGAACAAAATGAAAAAAGAAAATAACTCAGTGGAAATACTTCTTATCTAATTTCTTTTACATTGCAATTAGTATATTATGGCAACTTATGATTTCTTTACTTTCTAAAATGAGAATTTTATTATATAATAATAATAATAATAATAATAATAATATTATTATTATTATTATTATTATTATTATTATTAAAAACCTCATCTCCTTCTTTGAATGGAATGATTGGATTTCCTTGTTAATTTGACAGGTGCACGTGCAATTCAGTGATAGAGTCTTTTTCTTTACTTGGTTGATCCTCTGCAAATCTAGTTTTATATTACTTTAATTTATAAGATTAATTGCAATTAAAATTTAATTCAGAATAAACTTAAGATACTTTTTTTAAGCAGTACAAAATATTTAAAAACATGTAATTTTGACCAAATTTTAAATTACATGTATTATTTGCCTTTTTATTTCAATTAAATGATCACATGTTTTCACCTATAGTGAATAATTTTCTATAGTGCAATAATCTTAAGGTAGCTGGAAAATAAATTAAATACAATCTATAATAAACAAAAATAAACAAAAATAAAGAAAAAATAATTTTTCATTTTATAATAAATAAATGGAAACAACAATCAATAAATTTAAAAGTAAAACAAAATTATAACTTTGTTTATTTTTAACTAAAATTTCACATGTGACACCTGTACAAAATATTTCAAGAATAGGTTTGCCATATCAAACGATGTCGTGTGACTCATTACTTTTACACCGATATTAGTGTTACTATTGTTTAAAAAAAGCATCACTTCCTATAAACTTATTAAACAAATAAATAAAATTAAAACAAAAAAGGGGTAAAATAGGAAATTGAGCCAAAAACCAAAGGCGGGAAAAAGAGCCGTTGATGCCCAAACCAATGAAAATTTGGCGCCAAAATCTCATATTGACTCTGCCCGTAAAACCCCGGTCACCCCCTTTCTCTCTCTCATTCTCTTCTTCTTTTTCCTGGAAAAATTCATATTTTCCTACTGAAAAACTCAGATTTAACTCTCACACTCCCTTTTCTCACTATCATCTTCCTTTTCTTTTCTTCATTCCTTTTGATCCTTCAAGACAAAAACTGAAAAACCCTTTTCTGTTATTCCCTCTTCCTCTTCTTGTTCATCCAAAAGCTGTAACCTTTAACCCAAGCTTCTTCTCTTCCGTCTTTTTACCAACATGGGTTTCTCTCATTCTGACCTGGAATCAGAATCCAAGAAGTGGGTAATTGCCGGAATCACTGTTCGGTCTCTCAAACCCATCAACACGAAGCGCATTAATGGCGGTGACAACAAAGACGACAATGGTGAAGAACTTTCCACAACACCCACAGCTAAGGAATCAAGAATACCCGACAATTTGTCTTGCCCGCCGGCGCCGCGGAAGTGCAGACCTCAGACCAGATGTGGTGGTGGCAGTGGCGGTGTCAGAGAGTTCTTCACACCACCTGATTTGGAGAGTGTGTTCAAGTGCCATAAAGCCAAATGATTCTACTTCATTCAACTAACAGCCAACAAGGTCTTAGAAGAGAGAGATTTGGGTAGTGTACTTTTATTTGGAACTCAAAATTCAATTTCTATATATATGTATATGATAAAGTAAGTGATTTCAGCTGTTCATGATGAGAAAAAAAGAAGAAGCAATGGTTAGTTTTGCAAACACATACTTAAAAGTTACGGTGTGTTTGTTTCATTACTTCACATACATGGTTTATTATGTATGTGTTTGTGAGAGTTCATGAATGATTGGAATTGCCTGCTTTGTTCTAGTGGGGTGAGTTTTTTTGTTCTGAATGCTTGTAATTGCTCTTTCTTCTTTTCCTAGGTTGAGAAACAAGAACTTGTGTATAAAGTTTGAAGGAAAAAGGGAATGATATTTAGAAGTCAGAAAGGAGGATTGAGTAGGTTTTGCTTTGATTTTTTGTTAGAGACTATTATGCAGTTTATTTACTCTCTTTTTTCACTAATGAGAAGCTTTAAATATATCTTGAGATTTTGCTTGTATTTGGGAGAAATGAAATGAAATCATTGTGATTCTGATAAGCTGTAGTAGAGTGACAGAATGAGAGGGTTTTACACTTGACAAACATGAACTATGATTTGCTTTGTATTGGGTGTTTTTTGCTTTTTTAACTGTGTGACCCTTTTGTGCTGTGAGTGAAGATTCTGTTTTGGTGTAAGTTTTAGCCTTTTGAAGAGGGTCTGGTTGTAGTTTGGAGCAGCTATTGTTTCCCTTTTTGGGTAAGTTTGGTTGGTTCTTCTCTGCTTTTATTGCTCCATTTCATGTGCAATTGGATATACCTAATTGTTTGGTGTGTTAGACCAAAAGGACTTAATTCTCAGTACCTAATATTTCCATGCTAATTTTTTGTTTACATTAATGTGAAACTGTCACACACACATGGGTGCAGAAGTTGGAGTTATTGAGACCTGAAAGTTTTAACAAAATTTTGGTGTAAATTTTCATCTCCTGAATATGTACTAAAGTGACATGTTGGGTCTTGTTACTCCAAAATCTGAAATCTTCTGCAGAAGAAGAAACTTTCTCTGACTCAATTCTTTCTCTTTGTCATAAATTATGTTTCTCTCTTTTGTTCTGTTCCCACCATGCCTCAAATATTCTCAAGAAATCCCACAAGAAACGGATGATTTGTTTTTCTTGTGTTTGGAACTGCATCAAAGATTTGAGTTTTTATCCAAGTTCACATTCAAATATGCAAATTATGCAGAAACAATCAACTCTTGCTTCAAGGGTGATGTATGTTAGAATATCCAAAAACATGCAATTGGCTTTGAGGAATAAACACATGTTAATTTCTTTTTTCAAAAAGAAAAATCTTTCTGAGATGTTAAAATATGAAGCAAATAATTCAAATATAGTTATGTTATACATTTTTAGCTACTATTAATCTTAAGAAAGTACTTTTTTGTTCTCTTTACAAGCATTTAAAAAAAATCTGTCCTTTCTAATTAAGATTTCATTGACAAAAATTCTTTTAAGACTTTTTATTTTATTTTGGTATTTATTTAATTTGGTCCCAATGTAAATAAAAAGAAATAACTAAATTTTTAATCCTTTTACTTATTATTGTAGAACAAAATATTTTTTTGGGAATTGACAAACATGAAGAAACAAAGATAAAAACATGAAAATTTAACAAAATTATTGTAAGTAGACCCTTAAAGTAAATAATAATTACCCTAAAACTACACAAATAAAAGTTACCTACTATTATTATTATTATTATCTTTTTTTTTAAAAAAAAGAGTCATACTCCTTTTTACATCTTGTGGTTCCTAGGTTTCAACTCAATAGATTTTTTTTTCCACTAAGTCCATACTAAACACAAGCGTGTTATATTGTACATGGGTGGGTCAAATTCTCCAACTATCCTAAAGCTACCTTACCCATGCAAAAGAAAATATCTTTTCAATAGTTAAGATCATGGGATACAAAAAGTTTGTGAATTTTCATAAAATAGTTAATACTAAAAATACACATGCAAAATATATTCTTGTACAAATTAGTGATAAAATTGATATATAGTTTAACTCTTTAAAATGATTTATACAAATATGATTATATTTACACGAGAAATAAAATTTTCACACATAAAATTTTATATTTATTTGACATTATTTTTTTGTTATTTTTAAAAAAAATATATAAAAAATTATTTTTTATAACCATTTTATCTTTATATTTTGTGTGAAATAAATGTTTGTATACCAATTATTATTTTATTCACACATAAAAATCTATTAAAAACAAGAAAAATGATATTTTGATATATATAATTTTTTACATTCATTATTCATTTTTTATTTTCTACTTTTTTTTATTTTCAAAAAATTACAAAAATTCATTCTTTTAAAATTATTTTAATGTATCAAATAAATGTCAATATATATCGTGCTACTTTTACTCAACAAAGGGTAAAATTCATTTAGGTGATTAATTTTCAGAAATTAGTTTTACTATTTTGGTTACGAAATATTTTACCATTGCACAAATGGATAAATGATGACAAATTAAAATGAATGGTGTTCCTCCCCATGTACCTTTTTACACCCTCTGCAACTCTTGCTTTAATCTTCTTCTATGTCCCACCCAATGTTATTTATTTATTTTCTATGTCCCACCTACTTTAGCTTGCTCTTGCACACCACAGCCAAGGTGACAACACTCCTCAGATTATTACAAGTGGAAACAATAATTAAGACAAGTACATAAGATGATTAGAATCCTATGCAATTGTCACTGTTCCAAAATGTATGGTTTAATCAAATATAGCAAACAATCTCAATGACCCTCTTGCATCTTTAGTGCTTGCATGATTTTAGGTATTAATTAGATTTTTTGGTTCCTATCATGGCTAAGAATCTTTGATTATTTTAAGGAGTGAACATGAAACAGTTGGCATGACCAAGGGATTTTGTTTAAAAGTTGTTGTTGTTGTTTTTGATGAGAATGATGATGATGATGGAGCTTACCTAATATGAGGTTCTCTTTGGTGTTGAATAATGAAAAAGGGTTTCTAGGGATTAGGGTTTTTTCAAGAAAGCACATAGCAAAGTTGTGGTAAATGTGGTGATTTTAGATGGCTCTTACTTTGCCACATTATGGTCATTTTAGAATTGGATTTGCAATGGGGTTTCTACCATCATGGCATAAATGGGTACCACATAATGATGTTTTCCTATAAGGAAAAAAAAAATTAAAGTAAAAAAATAATAAAATTTCTCATTCATATCACTTTTGACTTTGCCCCTTGCTTCCTTCTAGGAAGCACCTCTTTTATCTAATGAGATTTTTGTTTTTGTTGCATTTATTTATGAGATCACATTCTTAATTGCATGCCAAAATAGTTAGCTATGACTAAAATATTGAACCTTGTAGTTTTTATACATAAATGTGCTTCTACTTGTCCACATCATTCATTAACCCTAATTTAAATTCCATTGAGTCTACAAAGTAGCTTGTGCTAGGTGTCATATGATGTCACTTCTATATGGATGGAAAAACTAATATTTTTGGATTTTTTTTCTATTTAAAAAACAATTATAAATTCTCACCAAGTTTTTTTAAAGAGATTAATCTTATATTAAAGATGAAATAATGATATATATTTATATTCATTTGACACATATATAACAAGAATAAAATAGTTATTAAAAAAAGTAAACTTTTGTACTTTAAAAAAGAAATTAAAGATAGTATCAAATAAATATAAAAATTTTGTATGTGTCAAACTATTATTTTTTTTAAGATGGGTTTGAAAAAAAATGTAATAACTTTAATTCAAATATAGGATAAAACATGTCAAGATTTTTTCATTTAGTGAAAATCAGTTTTAGTTTAACTAATATAATTTGAGTTTGATTCAAACAACTTGGTTAAAATTTTAAAAATCAATCTATAAAAAATGGTTTATTAACAAGATTTGTGACCAAACAAACAAAATGTAGATATTAAAAGCGAAATTAAAACTATTTTATTTTTAAAATTTATCTTTTTTACTAAATTTTAACAAACATGAACATATATACATCTTTAAATGATAACAAATTATGTGATCTTATTTTCTTTTACTATATTAAGTTTCTGAATAGAAATTATGTATCAACAAATTTAAATGGCACTTGATACTAATAATGTTGTATGAAAAAACAAGAAATGATAACATCACTTTCTTTTATTAGTTTAAATTTACAAAGACCCTTCAAAACCAGAAAATATATGATTAAATATGAAATGAAATACAATAAAATCATCGGTTTTAATCAATTTTGAAACAATAACTATAAAAAAAGAAAAAGTGTGCATGAATTGATACTAGTGACTGATTTTCATTAGAGAAAGTATAAAGTAACACTTTTGTAGCTTTCAAATTGGAACTACCCAAACAGTCCTTTTCGTTAAAGATACAACTCCTGAATTATTATAATTTATCATCATGGACTGAATTTTTATTTTATTGCATTTTGTGGTTGTCAAAATCGTCAAACCTCTTAACTTTGTTTTTGGAGTTATATATTCTGTTGTGGGGACCAAAAATATATTTCCAAATACAAAAATAAAAACCACACATGCTCTATTCTTCAATAAATCTTATTAGTGGGGTGGTGTTATAAGATTGTTTCTAATCTTAATTTATTTATTATTGATATGATTTACTATTATTGATATGATCAGTGAACATATTTTGATGTTTATGAGTAAATTCAACACTAAAGATTGAATTATTCATTATAACGGAATATACCTGTTTTCTTTTTTCTAGGTTAAAAAAGATAATCGTTTTTAATGAATTTAAATCATGATTAATCAGTTTACTCACCTATCGATTAATTTGAAGGAATTCACGTATTAATAAATTAAGATTTAGTTATTTTCTGATCAAACATAATATAATACAATTTATCAATGAATAAAAGAAATTCATGATAAACCCTATATCGTCCCATTTATCCTTTGAATTCATGTGTTAACGGTAATTTATTTATTTACTAGTAGTTTGGTTTGGTGGGGTAGGGCTTTTTATTCTTGTACTTAATTAGCTAGAAAAATTAAAAGCATTATGTTTGAGTGCAAGACAAAGGTAATGTTGAAAAATTTAGCATTTATTGTGTTTTCTACCACAAACGTTTGCGTCCCATGTTGGAAATTCTGGATATATATATATATATATATAATTACTGCTTACTTGCAAGAGAGTTCATGGCAGATCCACCATCTTGGGATCAGTGGAAATAATTTATTTTTAAAAATATAGTAAATATTATTAATATTATTAAGTAAATATAAGAGTTGGGAAAAGGTAAAAAATATTGATAAGTTATTATTTCTTAGAATGATCTATCCATCAAGAGCATGTGTTCGACTAATTG